TCGTTGCGACGTTGCCACTCTGCAGTAGTACAAAGTCAGACAGCATTAACCGCTTGTTTGTTTCTGAATTATTAATAGTCTACAGGAGAGTGGCAATTATACAATTTAACTTTGGGATTTCTACGTGTCTGTTACGTACAACCTTTGCATACTATATTAAACGCGCTACTGTGCTGCAGTACGACTATCCCAAAAATTGGTAAAATTCGATGAAAACCAGTAAACCTGCTCTGAGCTTTTATATTAACAAATTTTTTTAAAAAATGATCCCCGTTCTGCTTCGGTTTGACTGAAGCCTTAAGTACTTTATGGCTGGTATCACCTTACGGCAACGATTTTCACAAGCTAAGCCGCTAAAGAGGTGTGCGGAGGAACTTAACTAGTACCGTAACTATGATGCTTATGTTCACACTTGGCTTGGCAAGCATGTTCCAGCCGCGCAACCCTACATAAGATATGGAAGTGCCGCATTTTATTTTAAATACGCCGCGTTATCGTTTTACAATGTGGTATTATGCGCAAAACGGCAAAATAGAACTTGACCTTTTCGAACCTTAGTATGCCGAAGCTTACTTACCAGCCTCGTGCGTAACCAATACTATTAACACTTTACAATAATAAATTACTGTGCAGTGGCAAAAAATACTTCGAAAAAATACAGTTGAGTCTGAGTTGGCCAAGCACTGCGAACCGTTTATAGGTGGTAAACACTCAAAACCTTGTTATATATGGTGCCCCATTTTATGCGGCATCTGCCAGGTTTTATCGTTTGCCACTTGCCAGAGTCTCCAGGTTTTATCCCTTGCCATGCCATTGGCAAAGCCATTGGCAGGTGCCGCTGCCAGGTTTTACACCCTGCCCATAAACGGTGCTGTGGTAGTCTACTTTACTTCGTACAGCCTATTATAATCACTGTTTGTCTATATATTGTATAATTTGTATAGTGCATATTTATTAACGTATTTAGCCTTTGCGTATTTTGCCGCAGCAGGTAAGGAGTTTTGGTGAAAAAGGCACGCGCACCTTTATTTCCGGATGGGTTTACAGTCATGACGTGACTCCTTTCATCTCGAAAAATGGCATTCATATCCCAAATACATATGTCATTCAGATCTTCGTTCAAAACATTTTTTGAACCGTCTTACTTAGAACCAAGCGCCATCTTATAAGAATGCCGCTGACGTTTATACACCACTCTTCTACCGGCGCATTTATTGAACTGTGTTCAATAAACGATTGAACTGTGTTCTGTGTACTATTTATTGGACTGGCATTTGGACAGTTTACCATGCGTTGCGGCTAAACTGCCATGTATTTGTACACATACACGGCCGTCTAGCCCCTTAATATGGTACAACTGTACTTCGCTGACAAATGCAGATGATGACGAGATGGGGTGCTTATCTCCGAAATCTACGGCCGCTTTCGTTCACAGCTGGGAATACGAGTGGAAAATATCAACGGGAATTCAAACATCCGGTATAAATCATAATATTTTCAGTTATGCAAAGTGATAAAAGGTCATGGGCCACGGTGGGTGTCAAAAAAGATCGCTGGCGGGTTTTTGATATGCCATAGTGGGATAAGCAACACTCCACTTGAGTGCAACCATTTAATACTTTAATAGATGTCATATGTACTCTAATTTTTATACATACAATGTCATATGTACTCTAATTTTTCCTCTAGACAGGTTTGTCTAGAGTTCTTGTTTTTCCTTACGATTTACTTTATTTTTGGTAACCTTTTCGAATAAATTACAAGCCCTGCCATTTCTGGTTCATACCAGATTGGCAGGGACAAACCATATCGCGGAACTGTTCGCCACGAGCCCATCGTACTGGATCACCTCACTTACTGCCTTCCAGCACATTTCTCATTCCTTGATACTCTTTGCTGCTCTTACTCATGACTGTTGATCTGATTCTGATGTCGTACTGTTTTCCTGCCTGTTTTATGGAGCCATGCGGGGCTTGGAGTTGGGGCCACGGGGAGAATTTAGCTGGCCATGGGGGCGGACTGCGGGGGATTTCTGGGCGCTGTGCTCGATGTGATCTGGGGTTAGTAATTCAACGCTCTGCGTTTCGACCATTAACCAGTGACCTAGCTAGTGCAGTGCTTTGGCGTTCCGTGTGGGCTTCCCTCGTGTTTGGTGAGGGTGCGAACCGTGGATCTGGACTCGGGAACCCTGGAGGACCCTGGCATTTTCGTCATTTCTTCGCTCGTTTCATTCAACTGTCTGTGGTCATTTTCGCGAACCTCCTGGCTGGTGAATCTTCCGAGCTCTATGGACTGGCGAATGGGACGTGGAAGTCTGGAGCGGGATTTTCTGCTTGTTGCGCACGATGTGATCTGGGGTTATTAATTCAACGCTTTGCGTTTCGACCGCTAACCAGTGACCTAGTTTGTGCAACATGTGGGGAATCTGTCTTTTAGACTGCTGCTTATCTCGTTTGTCATGTTTTCAGGATTGGTAGATTTGCTGTCTGCGAATTTTTTGTTGAAAACCTGTATTCCATTTGGTTAATCATTAAATGTCATATAATACTGAACTGGTGGAAGCAATATCATGGTCCCGCATCCTTGTTCATCCTTCAATGGCTCCGCGTCCCTCGAGCCGCTAAGGGAACCATGGAATCGTTTTGCCCAATCTTTAACACACTCCTCGGTGGCATTATCGAAAATTGCCTTTCCCAATTAATACCGCCGCAAATGGCAGGTAGCAGTGCGGTATTTTGAGATGTGTTGTAGCTGCAGCGGCTTCGCTTGTCGTTACCAAGCCGAGGTTAAAGTACGGAACCGTTGTAGCATGAGGGGATGCAACTTTGCTGGCTTTGAGTTCACTGATTTTAGGTTTCGTACTCGTTTTGACTATGCGATATGCAGTGCACTGGCGTTCACACATATAAACAGAAACCATAAAACATACTTATAAATACAAAACACATACTTTTTTAAATACAAATAGAAAACGTATACGTTTTTAAGTATAAATAGAAAACACGTGCAGTTGTAAGACTTTTTGTCGTGTTATTTTAATTCTCTTTAGCATGATTTATATTCCGCCGGGAAACGGCTGCAGTGTTAGTATACTTCGTTTCGATTTTTAATTATGACAGCATTAACCAGATACTACTGCTAGGAAGCAGAGTGCAGCCTAATGGACATCATGGTCTTTCTTTCTTGTACAATAAAGGAGTAAGGACGATGGAGTCGGCACTGTGAAATGAACAGGATTGTGGAAAAATTGTTCTCGGCACCGGGCGTTCCGTGCCAGTTGGATATATGGACAGAACGGCAAACGTCCGGATGGTGCTACTCTAGTTCCTGTGCGGGGCGGCCAGTATGTGGTGTGGGATGCTACGTTCTCCTGTACGGTGGCGTCTTCTTATGTGGGCCGTTCTGCAAGGCATGCGGATTCAGCGGCACGTGTAGCTGAATCTTCCGTTTCTTACAGCCGGAACCACTTCCGTTTCTTACAGCCGCCATATTCCTTTTATCCTGTTGTATGCGAAACCTTTGGGGTGTTAAGTGAGTCGACCAATGAACTTTTAAGTTTTTAGGCGGTAGAATTTTTTTTACCATGGGTTCTGTCGACGTATCATCTTCGACGCTGTATGCGCAACCACTGCGGTACCGATCAGGCTGACTAGCATAGGCGACTTCCTGGTCATCGGAACTAAACAAGCCAGTGGGGTAGATCCGGCTGCCCACTGGCCTTCGCTGTGCTGACCCCTTTGAAGTCGCCTTCTGTTGTGACCGTTCCATGCGCCGTGCAACTTGGTGCGATTTCTGCACATCTTGTAAGGTCCATTGCGACCCCAGTCCCACCTGTCGCGCAGGTTACGAAAACACTTTCAAAAAAGAAAACATGAATCCCCAGCTGGGCCGATATTGGTTGCCCAACTTAACTACAGACTATATCGATGTCTGCAAAACTTTTTGTGCCTAGATCGTCAGCTACGCAGATGGGTTCTATACAGGAATTAATTGGTAACCTACAACTTGCATTCACACTATTGTGTTTGAGTTTCTGTCCGTCTTACTGGGTGTCTACCTGCTTACCGTAAGATTCAGCAGAAGATCGCGAATAGGCTTTAGGCGAGTAAAGCGGTCGCGTTGCCGGCAAACTGCATTACTGATGCTCTTCCGGCGGAATCAGATTAACATCAAATAAAAGCTCGATTGTTATCGCGTGCACGTTGCTGCGACACATTCGGACAGCAACTGCAACTGCTTCGTGCGGCCTAGCGTAACGACAATACCACCGTCTTTACATAATGAACCTTTTTAACTTTCAAACGCTGTAGAGTACTGTATATGACCAATGACTGTAGTATCAAAATTGTACTAACTGCCATCGGTGGATTCACAACGTTTTTACACTTTTAAATGTTCCATTTCTCTTTTTGACATCTCTTCTGACTTCGTCCAAACGGATTTCTGCTTCTGCCATCAGAAATATCGGAAAGAGCTGGTTTTTTACGATCGTGTGCTGTTCTAATCCACCATGGCTGCTTCCATCCACTGCAGTTCTAAACCGATTGAAATATTATGTTTTGTCGTGTACTTTATTCTGTTCGCTGGATCCTCCTGTCAAGTGTGTGGAAGATCTGGCACTGGTTTCAAATGCGTTTGCAATTCAACGGCGCAGCTGGATTTACCGCGATCCTTTGACGTTGACAAAATTCCCGACAACATCAGTGGATTGTTCTTCGATTGTCCGTGGCAGTCGCCTCCCGTCCACTGCAATATATTACGAGATGACCACAAAACTCTGCCTTTTAGGCAACACTTAACCAGATTGTGGCTGTGGGGATTCACTGGGGAACGAGAGCAAAGACCGCCAATCAAGAACTTTCTACAGCACGTGCAGAACACAACCGAATTTCTTTCAATTCAGTACAGTAAAATTGGCTATCTTGATGCGGATTTCTTTTGTCCCTTCCAGAGACTCCTTAGACTTGACTTATCGAATAACGACATCTATGATATATCCCCTGACACTTTCCAACAGTTGGAATCGAAAGTAGGAGATTTACGTGTGAACCTCGAGAAAAATGCCCTGCAGGAACTGGATTTGCGAGTATTTAAGCCACTTGGCCAACGACTAGTAAGACTCCGTCGACTTTATCACAAAAAAATGATTATTTTTTTCCTCTCATGTTGTCTTTAATAGTAACCAGCGTCATTCGTTTGCACTTTGCAGGTACGACTGTATCTCTCTTTTTGAAACCCACCTCTGAGTAAGCTTCATGACACTCAGGAAAGCGAATTCCGCTTTGAATTTGCCGCTCTGAACGAACTTTGGCTAGATGAAAACAATATCACATGGATGCCACCCGAAATTATACAAACTATGCCACAACTGTATCGGCTGGCTCTTCCTGGAAACAAGCTATGTGATGTCGACGACTGTTCGTGCTGCGAGATCGAGCCGTTTCTGCAAATGATAGCGCATGCACCAGTTGGCTTAAATCGCTCCTTGAACGCGAGCTTTAAATGCGGCTCTACGGATTATAAAAGCAAGGACTTCACCCACTATAAGCTTTTTCCACCGCACTTTCCGTCTTGTAAGTGCTGCCAAAAAGTCAGTTTTTCTCGATGTGCGTTTTCCAGCCCAATTTGGAGATCGGTTTATAATAAACTTTTGGTACACCTGAATGCGTTTAAACATTGTGCGTTCAAGGTCAGAAATGTACACCCCCGGATCCTTTGGATATCCAGTGCAGGAAAGGATCCATCTCATCGTTTGACATGTACCTGGAAGTCACAGACGCTCTGCTGATCCGTTTCACGGGCGATACTTCGACGCGCTGTAACGCCGTCTTTCACGACTTGTATTACCAGATTCTGGAACTGGGTAACATGTCGCAAGACGCGCAGCCACAACCGGGCTCTTCCGCTGCGGTAACGTTATACTGTCGCGGTAATTGGATTTCGGTATGGGGTCCAGATCCCCAAGTTATTAATCCGCTAAAGGTCATTGTTGATACGGATTTCACTCCATCATGCCACGATATACGCACGAAGTTTCTACAATTCATTCGAAACGAGTATTTCACCGATCATGCCCCCCGCGCAGTGTCTCTGCCAGTAATTCCCATCAAGTCGTGGATCGAAAAATATTTAGCATGTCCGCTGGGTGCTCCCTTATTTGTGAGATGCATAAAAGGAGCGGTGATCTATTCTCAACGACTGCAGAACCAAACGAGATCAACCGTTCTCAAGATTCGTGGCGATTCGTCACTTCGGTGTCGCGAATTCGTTAGCAACTGTCACAATTACTTAATCCAGAAAGAAGGATCGAATGTGCAGGATGATGAAATGTACAGCAATTCTCAGGAGTCCATTGTCGCTGTCTGCCAACGCGGACGAACTATCCTGTCTGAGTCGAGTCCAGAAAGCTCATTGAAACTGCATTTAACGTACTATTCAGTGCCAAATAATCCTTGCCAGCAAAAGTACCGAGATTTCCTCAACTTTATCGAAAAACTGAAATTAGGTTTAACCAACATAGTATCTTGCCGAATGACTATGCAGAATTGACGATATTGTCCGCTCTGTTTTTAATAGCAACTGGTGGTGCGCTTCTCTAACTTTCCACAAATGAGGCTTTCCCACAACAATTCCGTATTTAAGCGTTTGTTATGTCTACATTTTGCCGGAAAACATGTTCGCATTTCAGCATGTAAATATTAGATGTCCACTCTTTTCCTTTATGTAATGCTGTGTCAGATAGCGTAAGGCTACTGATAGTTTATGGTGGTGAGTGACCTTTACTGAATAGCTAACTCAGACACGACGCTAACCCAATCGTTCTGCTAACATTGACCTTTATGTAAACTGATTGAAGCAAACACTGCAACGACATCAAGACTAAGAAGACATTCCAGAGAACACTTTCTAGACAAGATATTCCAGAGCGACGGACGGTTTTTGGCTCGCTGATAAATGAAAAATTTTTTTACCAAACCCGCCAATTTTATCTTTATGAAACGACATCAAGACAACGACATCAAGACTCTCTTCAAGACAACGACAAGAATCAAGACACTCTTTTCCTTTATGTAATGCTGTGTCAGATAGCATAAGGCTACTGATAGTTTATGGTGGTGAGTGACCTTTACTGAATAGCTAACTCAGACACGACGCTAACCCAATCGTTCTGCTAACATTGACCTTTATGTAAACTGATTGAAGCAAACACTGCAACGACATCAAGACTAAGAAGACATTCCAGAGAACACTTTCTAGACAAGATATTCCAGAGCGACGGACGGTTTTTGGCTCGCTGATAAATGAAAAATTTTTTTACCAAACCCGCCAATTTTATCTTTATGAAACGACATCAAGACAACGACATCAAGACTCTCTTCAAGACAACGACAAGAATCAAGACACTCTTTTCCTTTATGTAATGCTGTGTCAGATAGCATAAGGCTACTGATAGTTTATGGTGGTGAGTGAACTTTACTGAATAGCTAACTCAGATAGCGTAAGGCTACTGATGTAAATATTAGATGTCCACTCTTTTCCTTTATGTAATGCTGTGTCAGATAGCGTAAGGCTACTGATAGTTTATGGTGGTGAGTGACCTTTACTGAATAGCTAACTCAGACACGACGCTAACCCAATCGTTCTGCTAACATTGACCTTTATGTAAACTGATTGAAGCAAACACTGCAACGACATCAAGACTAAGAAGACATTCCAGAGAACACTTTCTAGACAAGATATTCCAGAGCTACTAGCCATGCAAGATGACATTGATTCATTTACAAGAAGTTCTTCTCCCTCAAGCACTTCAACAGTGATTTCTGATCCAAAATATGAAAGATGACAGAACAAGCCTTCAACTTAAAAGCACTCATAGACAAACCATGAGACAACATTTTATTGATTGTTTTATGAGAGATCAAAGTACACTTAACACTTTACTAACTGGCTGATACTGTCTTGCCACTTCCTTCCGTTGCAAACCACATCACAGTATGACTGTCCATACATAATGTACTTCTACCAGTCGTACTCGTGACAGCTGTGACGGTACTTACGTATCTGTAGTATGTACATTGCACACAAGGTACTACTCAATAAATACTCAGCCAGATCGATACTGGTGCTACAATACATTATATAGTACAGTATATAGTCATATACAAAGAAATTGTTTAGAAAAATGGAATGGCAGATCAATAATTTTTTTCCCAAAGCTCGCTCCATGGTTTCGATTGCGTTTGCCCATGTGGTTGGCACCTACCGCTCCATCGTGTGTGTTGCCATTCACGTAGGCTGACGTTAGCATTTTTGCATAATTATATGCTTTATTTTTTCTTAAATCTTTTGCTGATTACGTCGCGATAGAAATCGGGCATCCGCTTGGTTGCGGTTGAAGTAAGTAAGCACGAACAAGAAAAACTGATACGGCAAGTGCTTACAATGGAAACTGAAAACATATCAACCCTGCTTATTACCGATCATTTTTAATTTATCTCACCGGCTGATTCAGTTGCGTGATTAATGTACTGTACTTAGTTAGAATCAGATTAAAAACAACAAACCCCGATCGCTATCATTTCTGACGACAAAATCGCTGACTGCCACAATTACTGAGCCCTACTGCATGTAATGCCGCTCATGTGGCGCGATAATTCTGCAGAGCGTGGAGTTTGACTTTTGAAATGATGTACTCGTGCATGCAGTGATACAGATATAAGAATATTACGAAACCCGCAAGCGAAACTCCTTTGGTCCTCGGTTCTACCGCTGCCTCTTTTACGTTTTTCTAAAACCAGTTCTCATTTTCAGTTCGGATTCTAACCACTGATTGTGGATTTTTGTCCAGCACTATCACTTTTATTTGTAGAAGCCCGAGGCCGACATTCACTGCGCTTTTCAGTGGTACAAATCATTACTATGCTCGCCTCACTGCGCTTCAGTTTTTATCTGACCACATTATGTTCCCTCGTCTGTTGCGTTGTAACTGCAACGTCTTCCCATCAGCCGTGTGTAAAATCTTGTACCAGATTCATGTGCACTTGCAATTCAACAGTGCACTAAGATTTTCCGCGTTCATTTGACGTGGATAAAATTCCGGGCGACGTAAAGGAACTGTTCCTCATGTGTCTAAGTGGAAATCGAGATGTCCGCGTGTACTGCAACATTCTGCGAGCAGACCACAAGAGTATTCCATACAGGGAACACTTAATCGGAGTGATTCTAGGGGGGTTACTGGAGAAGGCAACCAACGACCGCCCTTCAAGCACTTTTTTACAAACATGCACAACAGAATTAAGCTCCTCGATATTTATCACAGCAGAATTGGTTATCTTGATTCGGATTTTCTTGGCCCATTCATAAAACTGCGATCACTTGATTTGTCCACTAATGATATCTATGATATATCGCCTGATACTTTCCAGTATATAAAATCAGCGAAGGATGAGTTAGCCATATGGTTTCGAGGAAACGCATTGCCGGAGCTCGATCTGGGAGTATTCAAGCCGCTCCGGCAGAACATAGTAAGGAATTCATAGCAGATCATCGTTAATATTTTTTCACCGATTATGAAAACTGCTGAAGATTACGACAGATATTGCCTGATTGCACAGCTTTATGGACCTCGGTCAGCAAGAACCTCCAATCCGTAAGCTTCACGTAAACGGTCCCTGCTTTGAATTTCCCGTGTTGACATGGCTTTCGCTAACTGAAAACAATATCACTTTTATACCAATCGAAATGATGCAATCGATGCCGAAACTAAAACAGCTGCTCGCAAATAAGTTATGCGATGTCGACGACTGTTCCTGCTGCGAATCTGAACCATTTCGGCAACTGCTGCTAAGCAGACCAGACCACCTTACTTCTCTCTATTATAGTTGTGGCTCCGTAGAATATGGAAGCCACGGTCGCCGTCCACCGTTTCTTCCATCTTGTAAGACCTCTTAAATTTCCCGTTTCACCTCTCTTGCAAGACCTTTTGAAATCAAACATTGACTAGTAAATGTTTTTGATTGTGCTAATTATACCTATCACAAATTAAACTCAAATCCGGCTTTCGCGTTTCAAGGTCCGAGGTGTGCGTGGCCGGATCCACTGCAAATTAAGTGCAGGAAAGGATCCATCTTGTTGTCAGACGCTAATTTCCAGCAAACGGACGCGTTAATGATCCATTTCACCAGCGACACTTCGCTGCGCTGTACCCCCGGGAAGGAAACAGCACCGCACTATCACCGGCCGTGTCAGCGATTCATCTAAAAACGTGGATAGAGAGCCATTTGACATGTCCGCTGGGTGCTCCCTTGTTTGTCAACTGCACAAACGGGAATGTGGTGTTCTCGCAGGACCTAAACCAAACCAGATCCACCATTCTTCACATTCGTGGTGATCCTTCCCTTCGTTGCCGGAACTTAGTGATTAACTGCCACAAATACTTGAATGGAACACAAAGGGACCATGGTGCAGGATGACGTAGCATACCGAAATTCCCAAGAGTCCATTGTAGCCGCCTGTCAACACGGACGAATCGTCCTGTCCGAATCCAATGCGGAAAGTTCGGCGAAAATGCATCTGACATACTATGCAGCGCCGAATGATCCCTGTCAGAAAAACTATCGAGCTTTCCTCAACCATATCCAACAGCTCCAACCGGTTTGATTTGGTGAGAGGTTAAGAATGATTTGCAACCTTGTCCTCTATGAGCGTGAGAACTTTGGTAGCGCGCTGCACCTTTTCATCAGCGACGTAATTCGGCCTCCAGTGGACTTTGTCACCGCAGTTTTACTAAAAGGTAGAGTACTTATTGTACCTTTTCGTCGCCGAACTTGCCTTTCCTGAAATCGAATTATTTCACATTATTTCAGTGATCAATAAAATTCTATAGGACTCGTAGTGCATACTCGGCAATAGACTAGCTCTCCAACTTGGAAATAAATTATTAATAATACTAATTTTTAGGGAAAAACGTAGGTATTTGTAAAATCAGACCATTCTCCTGGAATGTTTAGGCTTCGTTGGCTTCGTTGTTTCAGAACAACGATTCCGATTTGAGTTTTGTTATCACGGCAAATGTTTAGATGGTACACTATTAAACCCTAGGGAGAAATTCTGTACAGTACTTACAACTTATCCGGGATAAATTTCTGTACCTAGTTTTGGCAACTATGCGCACTGGAGGGCGCTGCTGCACAAGCAATTTTCAATGAAAAGTACATAACTGGTTCAAGTTTCCACTTTCCACGATACAGATACTGTTCATGTTCGAATACCGGCATTTAGGGTATTGAATCCTTGACCGTTTTTTGTCATACCAAGAATTAACCGGCCAACATCAAACATGCATGTTTGACTACGTAATCGCAAGGTAAAGCAATACATATTAGAAATCACAACTAAAATGGTTAACAATCAAACAGCATACAAAAAGGGGAAGAAATGCGCGCAAAGCATGTTCATCGCTTGAGCGCCGCCGTCATGGCGGCGTTCTCCTTCTTGACCTGCGCGAGATCCTCGCGGATCCGCTGCAGATTGGTCTCCTTGTCGCGCTTCATCTCCGCGTCCACCTGCACGAAACGTTCAACCACAACTATGCAGCAATTACTCTATACAGTACACACTAACTACAAGGAAACACCCACCTCGTCTTCCAAATCTTTGGTTTCCCGCACAATCAACCCGGTGGTTTCAACGGCGCCGATCAAACACGAACACAACTCATGGAATGCGGCTACCTAAGACACACCATCAAAACGATTTTTAAAAAAAAGCATAATTAAAACAATAATTAAAATTAAGCTTAAAGTAACCACTGAAATAAAAATTAAATAAGGATTCACATAAACGGTTAAAATAAAAAACAAATATGTAAAAATCACAACGAGAAACAAAAGGGAGAAATAAAATAAAAATAATAAGAATTCAAAAAGAATTAGTTAACAAAGATTTATTTACGAGATAAATTTCTGTACGCGAAACAAATTCCTATATAAAATCAGTATTAAAAAGGAATTCAGACAGGAATTATAATGCGAGCAAAACTGATATTCAAACCGAATAAACACGCCATGAATGAGGAGGGCTCAAATAAACCTCCAAATTTGAAAAAAATAAAATTCCAAATAAATAACTCAAATAAATAACCGAATAGCTCCAATAAAATTTAAAATTCCAGAAGCTACGATCAGCACCTGTTTATACGCGCGCCGAACAAACTCATCGTTGCGCGCATCGCGGAACATGAGCTCGTCGGTCTCGGTGAAGGCACGGTCCAACCGCCCCGAGAGCTGGTTGATCTCCTTCTGCAGGAGGCGCGTGTCGCGGATGATCTTGTCGATCTCGGCGCGCTGCTTCTTAATGTTGGCCACGATCTCCAGGATGCGCTTGGTGTAGGATGTCCGACTGCTCGAAGGATTCTCCGCCACGCGCTCGTACTCCTTCCGCAGCGCCGCCACGTAGTCGTCGCGCTCGGCCAGCTCGTTGTGCAGCTGCGAGGCCGTCTGCTTGCTCTGCCGGATCTCGTCTTTCAACCGCTCCGCCGAGCCCTAAACAAACACCGAAAATTTTTATAAGAACTCATCGATATCTTTATCCAATTTTTCTTATTCGGAAAAAAATTTAATTTATTTCTTGTTTATTTATTGCCAGTCAAACGAAACGAACCTGCGCTTATAGTGATAACTGATAATTACTTGCACTTTACATTCTTAAATTATGATAATTGTTAAAAGTCATGTGCTCAACAAAAAATTAATTTACCTTTAAACTAATATTAATTGCTTATTATTTAAATAAATTCATTAATTTACAATTCAATTTTCTGAAACGGTCAAATAGACCCGTAAAAATATGGAATAAATAACAAATAATATAATTACAGGAACTGTGAAAAATTAGAAAAAACGCGTGAATTAGTTTATTATATTATACTTTTTTAACAATTAAATTAACTGGATAAGTATTTACTTCGTTAGCCAGTGATTGTTGGCGGATCTGCGTCAGTTCGCTGGCCATCCGCACTTGGCTGGCTTCCCATTCTTCATGCATACTTTCCAGAGCGCTGTTCAGCTCGTCGATTGATTTCTGCCAAAAAGATACAGAAACCAATAATTATTTTCCAAATTCTGCCGTTCTAAACCGAGTATATTTTTTCGTTTGAATTAACCAGTAAATAATTAATAATTTACTAAACAATTCCGCGAACCGTTTTCTTTACCTGGACCGAATTCTCGCTGATGACATCCCCCTCGGCGCTCTCCGCGGCCACTTGCCGCTTCACACTGGTCGTCGTTTCGAACGTCCGCAGGAATTCCTGGCCTTCACGAATCGCCGACTCCGTCTGTAATAAAACCAATCAAAAATCACGCGCGCAACATATATTAAATTCTCTATGGATGATGATTTCTTCAACGGGACGTATCGCGGAAATTATAGCACTGTCCTTATACAACACCGTGCGCTGTTGTAGAGCTTCTCGCTGACATCGGTATGCTGTGTAACGTGGGGCCTTATGGGCGCCCATGTACCTTCGACGGCGAAACAGCGGCGAACCCGGATTGAGGCTTTAATGCCGAAATCTAAGGTGCGCACCGTGGCGCATCAAACACCGACTAATGAGATCGGATCCTAGAGCCAGCGCAGCTGTGCTGTAGGTCCGTCAAAACACAGCAGCAATGTGTGGATGGAAATCCCCAGAACAGCAAAACACAACGGCGAATGGCCAATCATGAAGGCGGAGCTATCGGCCTTCACAGCTGCTTTTTAGAATAATTTGTTACAGATACACAGACCCGCCGATTCCACCAACAAACAGTTACGAAAGCAGACGAAATTCGAATTATGTAGGGCGTCTATCTGATGTGATCTGCCGGTATTACAGTGAGCGCAAACAAAGAGGAAAGCACACAACTTTAGGGGTCTTGTTTTAAATAGAAAAACGCACTCAATAAGCGCCTCGTGGTAATTGGTTAGTGCCACTCATCTACGCTACTACGGTATTCGACCCAAATGCAAACACCAACACAGACTGATCAGTGAATTCGTGACTGCGTTATCTTCAATTTTCTGCGAGTAATTTTGCGGCGTAGTGGCCGCATTAAGTTCCTACATAAATCGCGTACCTTGTTGACGCTCTGCGAGAGGGCGTCGATGTGGCCGGTCAGCTGGCGAATGTTGTCGGTGGCCAGCTGCACCTGCTTGTTCAGCGCGGCGGCCTTTTCTTCTTCGGTCAACTCCACTTCCGGCGGGCTACTCGGTGTTGCCTTGAGAATAACGAAGAGAAAAATTATATGATTTTATAATAATAGTTTTTGCTAAATTCTTATCTTGTCTCTTGACACTGCTTTATAACAACAAAAGCAACTCTACAAACTGCAAAAATTACCAAAATAGTATCATTAAAAGACACTCACTAATGCACAGCGTGACTTGAAAATACCAATCCCAACATCCGCACTTTACGAAACGCTTGCAACTTTGATTCGGCAATCACCACGACGAAATTCGCAACGGAAAAGCGTTTATAATTATTGTCATCAATATGAATTATTAAAATCATTACGCCCTAATTTTCTAGGTTTTATGTCGGACTGCATTTGGGGGTTTTGATTTTTCTTATTTTGTAATCACCTCTTCGGCCTTTTCCGGAGCGCTTTTACCCAACTTCTACAAGAAAAAAAGAGAAGAAAATAATTATCATTTCATTTGGGCAGAAAACAAAAAAAAGTAATCAAAAGAAAATTTTATGAATAAAATAAGAATAACTCGGTAACAAAAATATGGGAATACGAACAAAATTAACAAAATAATACCCAAAAAGATATATCAATAATTAAAACAATAACAAATAAAATCAGCATTAACAAATAATAAAAAGAATAAAATAAAAACCCAAGAAATACAACGAGAATAAATCGTAACAGGCTGAAAATACCGGTTTCCGCGGCGGTAACGCGGGTTTCTGGCGCGCCGCCCGGGCTTCCGCGGGGATTTGTTCGGCCACCGCCTTCTTCACGCTGGACATCACTTTGGCCTAAACAGCAATAAAAATCTACAAAACTCTGAAAAGTTTTGCTGCTTATTGCACTTACTGAAGCACGGGAGCGCGATGCGGCAGCTCCGACCAATCTGAGGCTGTTGAACTCCACGATGGAGGTGATCAACGCGGCGGGATACTCGGACGGGTCGGAGGTGTGGATTTGTTGGGTTATCACAGGGAAATCGTTATCACTGGTTGTCGGCTGACCGGGACCGGTGGACAGGACGGTGATGCGCTGGGAACGGAACGGCGTCACAACGGCGCTGGACTGTAAAGGAATATCAATGAGGGAAAATTTAAAAAAAAATAATGGAAACCTCCAATATCAAATTGCCAATGCAAATATAACCAAAACATAAAATAAAAAAGGCAAAATAAATTAATTTCAAATTCTACGTCACAGCCGGCCGTACAAAATGAGTCTCTCAATTTTGATTCGGCGTTGTTCAAACTTTTGAGCCATTCTACTACAACGGACCATAACCACAGCTGGGTTGTGGTTAATCATAATTAGAAGACAATTATTCGATCACGTTTACAACTTATCTTTTTTAACATCATTAATGCAATTAATTTTCGGTACAAGTATTCATAAATTAGACACATCTATTCTTAAGCTAACTTTATAATGTAAAATAAAATTCCAGAAACCAAGAAATTTTATTTGTTTTGAATTTTGTTTTATTTATTTCGTTTTTTGTTATTTTATTTTGTTGTTTTCTTCAGAAAAAAACACTTTTTATTTATTTATTTATTTTATTTATTTTCTTTTATGGAGTGCAGTAAAAATTGATACCTCTATATCTGTACACGCTAAAAATCGGAAAACAAGTCCAAGGCAAATTTAATTACAAAAATATTAGTATGCATAATTATAATAAAATACCTCTATACAAAAACACGTTATTGCTCTGTGGGCCCTAATAGCTGCCGGTAAACGAAAAATTAAACGTAAAAAAGGGGAAACTGTACCGCTGTGGAATGGGGCAGCGAGGAAGAGGAAGGATCGGCGTAATCCCACAGGGCCATCGGCAGCCAGGGACGCTGCAGTTCCCGCTTCACGGCCAGCTCAATATCCCGCGCGAATACCGTTCCGTAAGCTATATTAAAATTAAAAGAAATGCCACTGTTATACCACCAAATCAGTAGGAATTCAAACGGAAAACATGAATTATTCAACAATAAATACAATTAAAAAATCCACATAAAAATTATACAGAAGATCTTCATTTAAAATCTACGCTCAATAATCTCCAAAAGGTTAACGCTAACCATAAGTCAGTTAAAGAAAAAATTAACCATCAGTTAAATACGTACACCAACATAGAAATAATACGAGTGCATCATAAGTTAAAAAGAAAAATCAACACGAAATTTCTCGTAACGAAACGCTTGCTTGTCGCCACGAATGCTTTCTTATGATCTGCATATTCGTCGCGCAAAAAAATTATTATTATCTACATACTAATAATTAATATAATTATTATTATTATCTACAACATTCTGGTAAATTGGCGTGGCACCATTTATCGAAAGCCAATATGCCACTACACTACGTTCCATTATAAAGCACACATAGTCCCAGTTTTCGTTACAGAGAGCTTTTATCGGTTGCCACGCTGAAATCAATGTTCCACTAGTACTACTCGAAACGCACTTTAAATGCGTTTTTTAAGATACAGAGCCGAGAGTTCTGTAAAAGTGAATCTACCAATGGTGCAGCGCTGAATCTTATAGAGCGTTACAGAGCAACGAGACCTCGGACTCTGAAAGCGCCCAGTTACCATAGCTGGCTGAATTGGTCAACAATTTATTTATTTTTCACAAAAATGTTGTGGCAGTTTCCTTTCTGTTTTTCTGACGATTTTAAGTTTTGTTCAGTTGAAGAAATCAAACGACTGGTGAAAAAGCGAAAGGCAGTTGCACGTAAAGTACGCCGAGGTGGAATTTTATCATTCCTCACGCTGATGGCGAAGTTGCCTGTTGCCATCGATACAAATGCAAAAATGCACAGTCTGAGGCAGCTAAAACAGTGAACAAAGCAGAACTGGAAATGTTGATTCGATAGAAACAATTAAACACCCTCAAAACTTGAAAATTAAAAATAGGACTTATAGACGACTGGAAATGTTGATTCGATAGAAACAATTAAACACCCTCAAAACTTGAAAATTAAAAATAGGACTTATAGACGCACAGCGGACTGTGCATCCACATCAGAAAATGAATTTGACCTAGCAAGAAATGCGAGTTCTGTATCGTAACGGAGCCAGGAGAGTTCCTTTTAGATACAGAACACTTTTAACTCGGTCGTCCAATCAGCGGTAGGGGGGTGTGAACGAAACGTTACAGAACTTCCGGCTCTGTATCGTACAGAACGCATTTAAAGTGCGTTTCGAGTCTAGCTACTAATGACATATCTCACGATAGTTAGTATAGTAATTCAATAACAAATATGGCTGGTTTTCTTCAGAATCTATTAAAAGTAAAATTTAAAGAAAACATCAAAAACAATTCAAAAACCTAAAATTGCCAGTTGCCACATACGGCTTCATTCATTCTAAAACCAAATATAAATCAAAAACGATTAATAATATTAATAACATGCTATCTATTTGATCTGTTTTGAAATATTTTTGTTTTGAAAATAATTAAAGTTAAAGCAGCAAAATAAATATATCCAAACTCACACTGCGCACTGACGCCCAGGCCCACCGCGCCGCTCTCCTCCTTGGGGAGTTTATCCATTAAAAACAGCAGCAGCTTCCGCACTTCATTCTCCCCACCGTACAGAAACGCTTCATACCCAATTTCCCCGGGATACCCCACCGTCTGCAATCAATCCGAATCAACAGTCGAATTTTTCTGATTAAGACAGAGAAAAACCCCTGGAAAATGGCAACCCCGGGGGCGGATGGGTTTCCTCACTTTGCAGGCATCGGCCAGCGCGGCGGCCTGGCGGTACTTGGTGGCCATGGAGGCCGACAGGCGGGTGGGCACCTGCAGTTGCGGGTTAATGGCGCGCAGGCACACGGCGGCCGACTGCACCAGGAGCTCCGTGGGGAAATCGCGGATGGACAGAACATCGTCGCCCACTTCGCTGCAAGATTACAACACACGGGAAATGCAATACCGCATTACCATAGCTGGAAGTAATGCTAACTAATCGTAGAATTTTTTAAATTATTTTTCGAAAAATAATAACCAGTGTGAAAATTAAATTCAAATTTTTAACGAATAAAATCGCGGATTACTGGTGTTATGGGAACTGCAGTGCTGCTTACCAGCCAAGTTTTCGCAGCGTCTGGATGATAATCCCGTCCACTTCCGCCATGTTTTGCGTTCAGAAACGTTTGAATGTATGAAACAAATATTATGACATAACCAGCATGTTGGAACCAGGAGGCTTTCAACGCGAAAATATTCCGGAGAGGAAAATCAGGAGAATGAAATTAGGAAAATAACGACTATAACGTCATAACGAAAACCAAACATGCGCATCGACAGCTCAAAGATCAAAGATGAAAGTCGCATACATTCAGACCACCGCCTGCGGGTGCTACCCACTACGGCAAAGCGCCGTTCAGCAGGCTGCCGCCCGCAGTCGCTGGTAGAACACGATGATTCATGTTATTCACGGTCGACTTACCTATCTTCAAGCGAGACTTTATCGCGTCGACTTTGTTCGTCACTGCAGATTTGAAATTTGGAGCAAATTCAAAAAGTCACATTCTTATCATATTTTCCTATTTCCTGGAATGTAAGCTCTCAAGGATGCTCATTTTTTAAACCGTGGTATTGTTTTTGATATACTTTCTCCCAGTTTTGATATTCCCCGCGTTTTCTAGCAAGTTTTTACCTTTGTACAGAAAATCCAGACAGTCCATGAAATCTGTCATTGATTTATTCTGATTTCGTGGAAACCTTCATCCAGGAACCGTTGCTTTCTGTTTTTTAATATTCTGGATACAAGATCCTGATGAAACGCTCATCTGTCAAACTTTTTACCATCGCATCATCACCGTGAAATCAAGGATGTCATCCAGACGCTAATTCCCAGAAAATCATCCCTGAATCTTCCCGTTTCCTCTCCCCTCGGTCTTTCTCCCCTCCCCATCATGTCCGCCGAGGAACTCCCCGCCGACCCCTCCTCCCGCACCCCCCTGCACCGCTCCCCCTCGTGGACGGGGCCGACCGCCCGCGAGATCTGCACCAAGTGGCGTTCCTGGCTGGAACCGCTGGTCTTCACCGTCTACGTCATCCTGCTGATTGTGGCGCTGCCGTTGTGCGTGCTGGTCTTCAAGCACGAGGAGACCAATCTGCGCACCCGCACCTGGTTCATCGGGGGGATCTTTGTGTTCCTCAGTGTGCCCGTGTCGCTGCACACGCTGGTGCAGCATCTGATTCACTACACGAAACCGAGTTTGCAACGGCATATTATCCGGATTTTGTGGATGCCCACGATTTATGCTGCGTCCGCGGTAAGAAAATGAGAAATAAGGTATTTTTTCGTTAAAATTATTTTCTAACAATTTTTTGGGAGGGTTTACGGCGTTACAAAATTTTTGTTGTCAATAATTTCCACTATTTTGTTTAAAAGTTTATTTTTTAATAATTTTTACGATGCTTTACGGCGTTATACGATTTATGTATGTTTTCGGTTTATTTATATTATCTTACTTGAAAATTAGTTTTTTGTAATAATTTTTACGATGTTTGTCTATATCACAGAATTTTGCATTCGATTTTTCCACAATGCATTCTTCAGGCGAATAATTTAAAAATTATCAGTTTTTGTTTATTCTGGATTTCGATTGCACTGCGTGTTTTATTTCTGGTGAAAAGAATAAGTAGAAGCAGTTATAAATCAGCAAATATTGGAGACAGAGATGAATTGGAAAGGGTGAAAATTGCTTAATCTAATTATTATTGGAAATCTAATTATGGTTGTGGATTTACTGGATTGGTTTACAGTGGTTTTCCCTGCGCTTTCCTTCCGGAGCCATTTATTTCGACACATTCCGCTCGTGCTACGAAGCCTACGTGATTTACAATTTTATGCGTTTCCTGTTGAATTATCTGGAGGAACGCTGCGACATTGTGTACGCGCTGGAGCTGAAGCCGCAGCAGTGCCACTTCGTCCCCGTCCGTTTTGTCCTGCCGTCATGGGCCATGGGATAGTGCGTAATACCGGCCTTTAAAACAGTATTATCTTTTCATTTTTATTGTTTTTATTCTTTTTAAATCTGAAATTTCTTCCCAACATCAGAAAGTAGTGCTCCGTATTTTTTAAATATTTTAAGAATTTATTATGAATTAATTTGTTGCTGTGTTTGTTAACCCCCGCAAAACCTTTATTTAATTTTTTTTTATTTTTTAGTAATTTCCTGACCAACTGCAAGTTAGGCGTCCTGCAGTACACCGTCGTGATGCCGGTTATCACCGCCACCGCTTTGTAAGTTGTGTATTATTTTTCTGTTATTTTATTTTTGCCGGTCGATAAAAGTATAATATTTTACAGCGTCTGCGAGTCACTGAACGTGTACAACGAAGGGACGTTCGACTTCACCAGCGCCTGGTCTTATTTGGTCGTATTGGCAAATTTATCGCAGATCTGGGCCATGTACTGTCTCATCCTCTTCTACCAGGCCTGCAAAGAAGAACTGGCGCCGATGCGGCCGTTGTCCAAATTCCTATGCGTCAAACTCATCGTCTTCGCTTCATTCTGGTAAAATTATAATTTTTTTTATTTTTATATAAATTTTTAATATTATATTTTTCATTTTTTCCTTAAAAGCAAGCGAAAGCATTTTCTCTAATTCGTAAAAACAATGGCAATGGCTTTTTTATGATTTTTTCCTTATGTTTTCTTGGTGTGCGTAGTGCAATCGTAGTGCGGTGGTTCTAAAATAAATTTAAATTCGATACGCTGTGGTAATTATTACGTGCCGAACAAACTGGATTGTTCTGATGAATGACTGTCTCATAATAATTTAACAAATTTTTTTTTGGAAATATCCGTGCGCTAAATTTCGGTTGGTTTTTTGCAGTTTTTATTCTGTACGAATTTTTCTGATTTTTTTATTGAACAACAGGCAGTCGATTGTCATCGCGATCGTGGTGAACGTCGGCCTGGCTAAGGGACAGAGCGCCATTCCCGAAACGGACATCAAGTCGGTCTCCACGGGGTTGCAGGATATCCTCATCTGCGGCGAAATGGTCTTGGCGGTACGTTATTAACTATTGGGAAAAATTTTACTCATTTGCACTTGTATCCCAATGTATCAATTCGCTATTCGTAAAAATAACAATGATTTCAGTATTTTAATTTAAGTGAACACTGTTTTTTTTTTCGCTCAAAGGTTTTGTTTTGCTTGTAAGGCACGCTACCGTAAGTCCATGTACGTAACCCAGTCTGTGCCCTTACACTACAGTTTCGCCTCGTCAATTGCAGCGTTACTGTTTATAGGAAGCCTTTAATCTTGTTATTTGAGCTATAATTTCGGAATCAGTATTTGTGGATTAATTTGTTTGTTTGTTTAAATTTTATTTATCATGTTCTATGACCAGGCTTCCTTCTTTATTAATCTGACGGCTGTTGCCTGTTGAAATTTAATTTTTAGGGATTTTCGCCCTGATTTCAGTGAACATTAATCTGTTTGATGCGGCTGTTAATGCACGTTTAACTGGCTACTGACAATCGGGATTTTCGGCTGACGCTGGTTGTTTTTCAGTCGATCGCGCATCATTTTGCTTTTTCCTACGTGCCCTACATCGATCTGGCCGCGCCGCAAGTGCCCTGCTGCACCTCCTTCTGGGCCATGATGGACGTCCGCGATGTCACCAGCGACATGGTCGAGCACGCCAAAGTCGTCGGTAAGTCTCCGCGCTCACACTGCGTCATTGCGAATAAATCTAAAGAAAACTGACAAAATATCTGTTAAAATATCACCAGCATTTCAACATTTTCACATAAAAATTCCCAGATAATGACTCTGTTTGATAGTTTTGGAAAGATGACATATTGTTGTTCTATTACCCAGATAATTATTAATAATTTATTTAATAATTATTAGTATTTGGTTTCTGTAACTTTGCCCTTGAAAAATTAGTGTTTTGGTTTATTTTGCGCTAGATTTTGCAACGTTTTAGAATTTTTAGAAATCTTTGAATCACGATAAGTATCGTACATGGGGCAGATCGTAGTGCGATGGTTCGAAAGCTTACACTTACGTTGCAGTATTCACTTCGGCAATGAACAGATTAGATTGTCGTTGTCAATGGCTTGTTTAGAATTACGTAACAGTTTTTTTTTCTTTTTAAATAATCCACAAACATGAAAATCTGTTTGTATCTATTATGTGAAGGTCCTTGAGAATAAGAAAAACGTACGACATTTTTCACATTCCGGACATTTTCACAATGAAGATTCGCGTGCCGGATGCCAGAGACGCGGTATTCTTCGCGTTGTTCCAAATTAGAAGTCTTGATAATTTATTATTAATTTCGTGTTACAAACTTCTATAAAAACACTAAATGTCACATAAGCAATCAATTTTCGAAAGTTTTTGTCATGTGGTACAACGCAGAGCATACCGTGTTTCTGGTATCCGGTACGCGAATCTTTGTTAGGACAATGTCCCGAATGCGAAAAACGACGAACTGGAAACCATGAACCCGATAATTCCATTAAATAAACTAGAATTTAATTAAGTTTATTCTGAAGCACAATTTTATAATTTGGACGCTTCATGAATAGTTACACAGGTGCGCTTTTTATGTTTTTCCAGGCACGCAGATCCGTGGCGGGCGTCCGGCGTACACCCCTCGCAGTCAGGACGAGCGAACGCGGTTAATAGACCCGGCGTCGCGGGCGCCCAGCGTCAGTTCCAGTCAGAACGACTTCGAGGTGCTCCAGCCGCCCCAAACCGGCGAGGTGGAGGTGCGCCGGCCGCGGCTGGACGACGAAGTGTTTCAGGAACCCATCCCGACCACGCGACACGATGAGCGCAGTGATTTGCTGGCGTGATTTGACTGTTTTGGTTGAAGCTTCAGTGCAATCTGTGATAGTTTGCGATTTCCTTTGTAATTTTCTACTTTAACTGCTCTGCGATTCATTGCTTTATTTTTGCCCGTGTTCCGCCAAAGATTTGGTTACGCTGATTTATAAAGGAAGGTGAAAAATGGGCTTTATGGAGAAATTTCAGTATTGCTTCGTTGCATGTTGGTTATTGTTATCACCGCCTTTTCTGCATGCATTACTAACGCTACGGAAGTCCGAAGCCGTAAATATGGCTAGCCGATATGATGTCGGCTTACACTGCGTCAACGTCGACCGTCACGAGGGCGGCGGTTAAGAAAAGAAACAACAAGAAAAGATCCTAAGAAATAAGAAAACCAAGAATCAAACCCTGGAAACATAAGAAAGCCTAAGAAAAACTAAGGCGGACTGGCAAAAGACTGGCTCTGACTCACTTCGTGACGAGTCGACATCGTGCCTGTACGACGTAGCGGCGGTAACGGCATCCCGTCGACGAAACGGCGGTTCACCGCGAAGCCTCCACTTGGCCAGATATCTGTGGCAGACACGGCTATTTCGTTCCAGCTGTATTTTCTTTCGCATCGCACCATTCCGCTTGCTTCGATTAAAATGTTTAATGTTTTTATCTAGCTATGTACGAGTATCTGCGCAAATGTGCAGTGTATTAATGCGCGTGCTGGCTGTCGCCCATTAAAAGAACGTTTTATTATTCTGAGTTTCCTGGCGCTATCGCTGTTACTAGAAAGCTGAGCAGTTAGCATCATAGCATAGCACTGATAACAAGCAGCAACAGTAGTTCATAGGAAAACAGTAGAAGGGTCACACTGCCATATTTCATCGTTTTTATGGAAGCATAAATCGTGTCAGATTGCCTACTGGCACGAGTTAGTGCCTTTTTTAGGTATCAACTGTCAGCTGTCTTGTTGTACTTTTGCACTAAATTTATGAGCTCTTAAGCTGCATGCTTCCGTAAGAAGCGTGATCGGTGATTGGTTTCTGGAGCAGTGTCCTCCAGTCCTCCTCCAGGCAAACCGACATAGTCTGAACCCTTGCCCCCGATTCTGTTATAATATCCGACAACAACTGGATGTCCGTTTGCCGCAAATTGACAGTGGACCATTGTGTGGGGTGTTTAGTGACATAAACCTCTACAGCAGACGCCCAATCACCGTTTCTGCCACCGCAGACATATATTCGATCACCGACAACACAAGCATCATGGTAATATCTGGGCAGTTTAAGAGGCTCTATTTCCTCCCATGCTCCAGTATCAGTGCTTAGACGAATTACACCAAAAGATATTTCGGCCATCTCCAGAATTATGCACCCCAAACTCCAAATGTCAGTTTTCCGTCCGTGTGCCTCCGAACCGGTGTGGGTACTTTGCATGTGAAAAATGTCATCCAGGTCACCGATCAACAGCTTTGTGCGGCGATTGTGTTTACTGAGTGGTGTTCGCTGATGTACCTACTAATACTCGTACAGACAAAGCAAGCTTTAATGCCCCTGCGCAGATGTATAAATAAATGCTGACATACAGAGTATGTACGTACAGTACATACGGGCCGGTGATACGGCGTTTTTTGCGGTCTGTCGTTCATGCTGCTGACAATTTTTTCGACTGCATGGACATTAGCCGTGCAAGCCCGTACATGTGTATTCAGTATTACTATTATATTCGGCGCAATCATGCATGCTTCCCATTAATAACAAAAGAACTGAACATCAACAAATGCAAAGCGCTCTAAAACGTTAGTAGACATCCAAACTTCAAACTCCGTCGCGTCGTTGATGCCACTGCGGACGAATAACAGAACTTCTTTGTATTAGCGATCTGCATGCCTCTTAGCAAGGTATTTGGTTAGAACGGTCTCAGAGCGGTCCTGCTGCTACAGTCAGTCGAATGAAAAAGCTCATCTTGTTTGTACTTCCAGTTAGTCCGTTATCCTACACTGTACACACTGCCTTCTGTTCGATTTTAAATCAGGTGCTGAGTTTTGGATACCCACACGATACCGTGCAAAAGCCAGATCGCAGTGAGTGGGTCTTCTGTCAAAATGGCTCCATAATTCCACCAAAAACACACGAAGATCTGTCAAATAAAAAAAGCTGTCGGCTTCCAGATGCAGTTCGACAGCGAGCAATGGTGAGTACGCGAAGCTTCGTAGAAGTACTGAAATCCGTTCGCTGACTAGCCAGATCTGAATCACACTGATACGCTTCGAAATCGAACAAATTAATCAATCTCATTCGACAGAGGCGGCCTAATCACAGAGAAAATTTGGTCTAAATTTGTCCCTATCGGCGCTAAATTTGTCCCAAGACCGATGCTGCATTTCCTCGTTGGATTTCGATACTGATCCGTTGGCGAAGGTATTCCGTGGCTCGTTTTTCGCCGGTTTCCTGTCGTATCATCTGTCCAAATTCGGTTATCGTGCGGGCAGCATCCGGACCGGGCGGTCCGAGCGTCTCAAAGCCAAGAGCACGAAACACGAAGTCCTGGCCGATATCGCGATATTTCTCGATCTTGCCCTCCTCGGCCTGAGCTGTTGCTGCTCCCGCTTGTGCGGATGTCGCAATAATGTGCGATATGGCCATTGTGTTGACGCAAGTAGCGTCCCATACCAGCATTCGTCCTCTCTACCAAGGCGTCAGGTAACACCGTCTGGTCGTTTACCGTCAGTTGAGAAGATGCCTTGTGGTTCTAATTCGCTTTCGAAGCCGGCCGATGCGAGGCCGATAGGGACAAATTTAGACCGAATTTTCTCTGTGATTAGGCCGCCTCTGTCGATTGATGCTTAACGTGATCGTTTCTGAGTTATTGTGAAATTGTTCTTGTGAACATGACAGCAAAATTAATAATACATATGTGTAAACATAAAAGAAAAAAAAATCAATCTCATTTCACGCAGTTTGCCGTTGGCTGGAATGGTCTTCAGACTGTTCAACTGGAATCAGATAATTGGTTCACGAACGGGCTGCTAGAGTTTGCCTGTCAAAAACTCAAAATCTTGCTAATTTGCCACTATGTTGCGGATTGGTGGTTGGGCCATCGCCTCTATGGCAACGCTTAAGTCTTCTTGGTCAGATCCCTAGCAAAGTAGTTCTTAAAATGAAACTGCATCATCGCATCGTCACAGGATAAAAACTATTACACCGGGATGAAAGCTATAAGGTTCGAACATCCGCTTTGGCGAACGCTGCTTATTGCACTATCAACCGGTAGCTGTACAGGTGATATTTGGGCGATCAAGCAATGGGTAGACGAAATCTTCCGGATCGGAGCTGCAATCAGGTACTCTGTAGGTAAAACAGGTAGCCGCACCGCCTTCAGCTGTTCTTTGCGTTGCTCGAATGCAGCTGAATTGTTGACTTCTGGGTAATCTGGAAGATTTTTTGCTTTTCGCTAAACAGTTTAACTGCCTGCACTGCGTTAAATTTTTTAAATATGGTTACAGATTATGAATGAACGCGTACCTGTTTGTAGATCTACAGAGTACATGATCGCCGCTCCCAGATTTCGTCTACCGTTCTTTCGTCCCCGCAGATTTCGTCTACCCACTGCTTGATCGCCCAAATATCACCTGGACAGCTACCGGTTGATTGTGCAATAAGCAGCGTTCGCCAAAGCGGATGTACCAACCTTATAACTTTCATCCCGGTGACCAGAATTTCCTGCGATGACGTTAAGGCTTAACTCGAGAGTGGCCATGTATTGTGTCAGAAGCTGGATAAATCCATTTGATGTACAATACACGAACTATTTACCAGCATTGGCTTTCCTTTACCGGCTCACTGCGCTTGGAGCGTTGTAAATTCCATTTACATACATACATGGATTCAATTTCTCCTGTTGACCCATTCCCTTTACTTTCGGTATTATATCAGGAAAATGCTGATCTTTCGGGAAGGCTTTCGGTTCGTAGTGCATAATCGACTGGTATGTAATCGTAAGACAGACCACACATTATTTCTGAACAATGGCTTCTCGAACTGAAATTAACTAAAATAATCGATTTCTGTATTGCAGCAGAATGCATATTGATATTCGCATAACATTATGCGCTCGTTACCTGTAGAAGCCAGCATTATTTGCCAGTACTAACTACTAACCGCTACAAACATTTCAACTGTGCTACTGAATTTCAAGCAAACCAGCCGATGGAGCTTAAACATGGTTACGGCTCTGGCGGTTTGCCCATTGTTTTTGCGGTCGAAATTATTCAATCGACAACCAAAAAAAGCAAAATTCAGCAATAAGAAGGAGCGAGAATATTTCGCGACCGGTTGCAACACGGAGACACTATGTACTTCTACATACTTTTCTGGTCATCGGGGGCCCCATTGTAAAGAAAGAGCCGTTATGACGAAGGTTGTTTGATAATACGATAATATGTCATCAAGCCTTTATTGGCTTATTATGTAAGAACTGCAAAAGGTGGTACTCGAATTGATTCTTAAAAGGCAGTGCGATTAGCGGTGGGAATTGCCACACCCGGGATACTTACCTTTTTTCCTGTGAGCCGGGCGTCGCTGAAGCGCTTCGCATCACAATGTTCCTGCTGGCTGTTGGCACTGTGGTGCTCTTTCAGTCTTTTTAACTGTGATGTCTTCTGGTGTGTGTGGTGTTGCTTGCGTAAACAAAGTGACGTTCCATCGTTTATCAAAGACCGAAAGACGTAAACGTAACATGCAAATTTTGGTTTCGTAGCACGTACGTAGCATACAAATTCGGGTTTCCGACTTCCGAGATATTTGGATAGACCAATTTAAGCACTGCAGAAGGTCTGCGTAGACACCGTAGCGCCATGGCGGTCACTTTCGTAAAAGATAAAACCCTATATGAATGTGGCGGTTGTTGTCGGCAAATAGTTGCTCACATTTACTACCAAATGCATGCACGGAAATTGGGTACGAGTACAGATATATGATGGGATATACCTGGGCGTTTGAGTTTCAGTTTCTTGGATTTCAGTAAAGCGGGATGCGCAGTATGTGAAATATATATAAGGGGGAAAACCATATCAGTCGAACCAGTTCACGGCACTGCCCCCGTCACCCGACTGGAGTGTGATGTTACGGCAGTACATGCGGCTAAATCAGTCGCGGTATATAAGCACCATGTTTAGCCACAAACGAGTTGAACAGAGTTAGACAGAGCGTGTGTCTAAAGGATATTTTGCGAATATCTTTCGATGCTGGGTTATTACAATTGCCCCCGGATGATTAATTTCCCTCATCCGTGTATTATGGGTGGCTACGGGACCTAGTCCGAAGGATTTCTTTGGAATCCTTTCGGAGGCTGTCGTGGCAGCTCGTCCCGTAGTTATCAGGCCCCCACCGTCCAGTACTACGTAAGTTCCTTTCTCTCGGGTTTTGAACTCCCCATTCTGCCTTGCGGTTTCCCTCTGTAGCTGCGATGACGTGGACCTGCACCGACTGTCAGCTTATCTGCAAGCGTCAGGGCAGCCATTTAGGCAGTGGGAACTGCCTGGAACGCCAAGCGCAGAGACTGGGGAACGCTGTCGGTCCTCCACAAGCCCCCAACCAAGCACACGGTCCCCCTCTGAATACAGCCGGGATGTCTGCACCGCCTTTCATCCCCGCTAAGAGGAAAATTATGCGGCGTATTCCGAAAGCAGCACGCGCCTCCGTAGCGATAGCTCTGACAAAGCTGATTCGG